CAATACATTATGACAGAGCACTAGAAAATGATACAACTATACTGCTCTGCAGGATCTACAGATCCCAGCCTTCCATGAACAAACCAGGCCTGCTACTAGGCTGGTCTGCTGAAACCCTCCACCAGCACTCCATCTCTGTGTAAAAGCAAGAGTTCCCACAGGGCTCAACTTCTCTGACTAACTCATTTGAAGCTGCTCTTCCAGCACTGCTCATCTCGGCTCACAGATTACCTGTCTATTAAACCCACATTCATATTTTGAAACCTTAGCTCCCAAGGTGAACATATCTAGAGATGGAAACTAAGGGGCTTAATGGGTGGGGTCACTAATGGGATTAGTGCCCTTATAAGAAGAGACACCAGAGACCCACCTCTCCCCACATTTCCTATTTAGAATAAGCACTGTGAGAGCAGATCTTTGTCTATCTGCCTATAACACCTGCTATGTGGCATAAACAAGCAATTGATAACATTAGTTGAATACATAAAATATCTTAAATGCTGACATACTATGATAACTAATAATACATTTTTGAAATCCAGAAAGATTATAGTAAAATATTCAGTTAATTAAAAAGTTATGGTTACTGAAATCTGTATTCTCATCACAGAACCACAGAACCTTGGTTTCTTCTATGAATCAGATCCACAATAGGCACTGACCTTCTCTTCCAATTAAATTAAATAGCTACTTTCATGTTATTCTGCCCTATATCTCGTTCTCTACACAACTCCTGGTAAATTTGTCCCAGTAGTCCAGTTTCAGGTCTTTAGCCATCACATCTTTGGAGTGACCAAAACTATTATTGTTGGCCAGGCTTCTCCATGCTCTGCTGATCTTTTCAAGAGGAGATGAGGGTGGGGAACTGGAGTTTGAACTCAGGGTCTTGCAAGCACTTTTACCACTTGAGTCAAACCTCCAGCCCTTTTTGTTTCTAGGTTATTTGTAGACAGGGTCTTGCTTTTTGTCCAGGACAATCTCCCTACCTGTGGCCTCTTAAGCAGTTGTGATGACAGGTTTCTAACACTCCAGCCCAGAATATTAAGATGGTCTCACTAACTTTGGCCCAGGCTGTCTTTGAACCAAACTCCTTCTGACCTCAGTCTCCTGAGTAATGGGGATCACAGGTGTAAGCCACTATACTCGGCCTACAAGTACTTTCAAGCATATGCCACTTAAGCCATGTCTGAGAATACAAAACATCAAAAGGACAGGCGCCTCCGTGGTTGAATATAACACTGTACTCATTTAACTAGGAAAAAACACCCTATATAAAACTCTAAAATGTAGTCTTTAGTAGCATACAGACTCATATAATTCCATATACTGCCAGAGGAACTGCTTTGCTTCATTACAGAAATTAGAACTATGATAGAAGGGATTTCCAATCTTTGAGTTATGACTGTGTATTCTAATTAACAACATACCCTTGCACTAACAACCAGTTTCACTTCAATCACTGAGTTAGTCCCAATATTGTAATAGAATTTTATTGCTTTCAAATTGAATTTAATCACTTGGGGGGGACGAATATAAGGAATTTATCTAAGGTTTTCAAATTAAATTTCTGAACTGGGATAGTTTATTTTTAGAAGTAAAATGCCTCCTACATTTTTTCTTGGCTCTCAAGTAACATTTGTTTCTCTAACCGGTTTTTCTCCATATTCACTAATCAACGTGTGTGTGTGTGCGTGTGTGCGTGTGTGTGCGTGTGTGTGTGTGTGTGTGTGTGTGTGTGTGTGTGTGTGTGTGTGTGACTTGAACCCAGGGCTTCATATTCTTTTTCTGCTCCCAGCTGGTGCTATACCTTCACCTCTTAGTTTTTACTGGTTACTTGGAGATTAGAGTCTGATGGACTTTCTTGTTCTGGATGGCTTCAACTGCGATCCTTACATCTCAGACTCCTAAGTAGCTATGATTATAAGCATAAGTCACCAGCACCCAGACAACCCATTATTATTTCACAGACTTCTCTACAACACATTTCTTTAACCTCTCTAAAAATCTTCATCAATTTGATTAAATTACAACTTCAAAACTTAGAATCTAAGTTTCAAAGTTGGCTAGTAGATAGAATTCATTCATTTTAACCATATATTTTTAGAATTATAAAGAGAAATCATATATTTGTTGTGGCTTTAGAGACAAGCTGAGATTTCCCAGCTGCTATAAGGTCTGTAGCTCTAATATAAGGTCTGTGACTTAGTTATAAGATCCATGGCTCCCAACATCAAATACAGTGAAAACAAGGGTTATACTGTGGGGGAGGGACATACAAAGCAACAAAGAAATCATCTTATAAATATGTTAGAAACAATTGCAAGAAAGAAAAAAATTTGAGTCCTTTTCTTGGGGTTCATTTCACCTAAAATCAACTTATCTGACCGTTTCTGCTTGACTCAGACATATACTAGTAATTGCAAATAAGGAAAACCATGGGACCTTTGTTTCTTTGGACCTGGCTTACTTCACTTAATATAATTTTTTCCAGGTCTTTCCATTTCCTAACAAATGGGGCAATGTCATTCTTTCTGATGGAGGCATAGAATTCCATTGTGTATATATACCACATTTTCTTGATCTATTCATCTACTGAGGGGCATCTGGGTTGGTTCCATATCTTAGCTATGGTATAATTTGTGGAGGGGAAGGGAAAAAACAAATTGTTTAAATAGGGATACAGGTGGACCCATTGCAACAAAGAGATGTACAAGACATTAGGTCGAAAAACAAACTTTACAACTTTGGCAAGCGGGGAGGGGTGGTAGGGATGGGAAGGGGAAACAAAGGAGGAGAGGGGGAGGCAACAATGCTTGATAAGAAATATACTCATTATCTTGCCCATGTAATTGTAACCCCTCTGTACGGTATTTTCACAATTTAAAAAAAAAAAAAAAGATCCATGGCTCCCAATCAGCAGAAAGAAAACTCTTAAAGGTACGGTACAGTACTCAGTCAGTTACAAATAAAACATCCATTGTTCTTGGCTTACACAGGCTTTTGAAGATCACTACACATTACTCAGGTAAATTTCACCAACATCAGAACAGAGAAGTAGCATGACAAGTTCAATGCAGCCAGAGGAACATATCAAGGCCTGGTCTCCAAAATGCAAGTAGATAATCCTCTGGAGAACTCCTTTGTCCTTTTACCTTGTGAAGCAAGCAGTCTATGAACTGGAAAGTGGGCCCTCACTGGACACCAAATCTGCTGGCAAACTGAGCTGAGGTTCTCCAGGGAGAAAGCCATTTCTATGATTTATTAACCTTTCAGTCCATGGTCTTAAGTTATAGTAGCCAAATGAAACAAAATGTGTTAAGAAGTCACGCTTTATTGTCCCAAATACTCAAAAAAGGCACAAAGTATGCTGGAATTACCAAAATCCTATCATCATTTCTTTCTAAATAAACTCAGAATCTGACCCCTCCTGACCCGCTCTTCTGTTTCTACATGTCATCTCTTACCAGGATTCTTACATTCACCTCCTGCCTGGACTCTTGTCCACACTGTGATCACTACAGAGCACAAGACCCATCGTCACACCTCCATTTAAAATGCTGTACTGGCTTGAAGTAAATGCCAAGTCCTGATGATACCTGAAATGATCTTCCATGTCCTGGTCCCTCTGGATGTCACCTTGGACCGATTTCTCCCCTCTCATCCCCACCTCCTTGCTCCATTCAGCCCATGTCTTCCTTGCTATTTCTGAATACAACACACATACTCTCATTTCAGGTCCTCTGCATTAACTGTTTTCTCTAGCATGAAAGTTTCTTCCTAGAAATATCTATAGGGCTTGCTCTTTATTAAATCCTCACAGAGTCTGTTCAATGAGGCCTTCCTTGACAGTAGAACACAAAACAGCACCCCTTTTTGTCGCCTATCCTTCTACCTACTTTGTTTTTCCCAACATGCTTACTGATACTTGACATACTCTATGTTTGTTATCGGAATACATTATTTTACTGGGATCCTAGCTCCAGGAAAACAGAGGTTGTTCCATTCTTACTCATTCCTACCAATAGAGCAAACAATGATAGATTAGCAAATAATATCTATAAATATTGATCAACTGCATGAATAAATAAATCTTGTGCTTGTTTTTTATCCAGAACTCAATGAACATTCTTCAGCCTTACAACTACATGCTACTATATTTCTACTTTTAAGAATCATACCCCTTGTATGAATCATTTTGGACTTAGCAGCATATGAATATCAAGAAACACATCTTATTTTTCTTTGTACCTTAACGAGGACTCAATATTTGTTAGGGCAAATCTGAAGATATACTGAACACACCTGAATCTCCTGAGCTGTCCTTGAGCAAGTAATTCAGTACCAATTCTACAATCACTAAGGAATGTTCTGCTTTCATAAATAAGTAGCAAATTTAGTACAAATGACATTGAAGGAGTGTGGTACCTGGCCGACTTGTGTCTGATACCCATTTTGTACTAATGTGGAAGCCACAGAAAATGTTTTGAATGATGTAACAAATCAACAGATTTTCAGAGGATAGTGAAAATTACTTGGCAAAAGCTTGATCTATTAACTCTATGTAAAAATAGCTACATGTCACTTGACATGAGGAATTTTTTTCTAAAACAGCTGAATCGATCCAAACTTCTATTCATTAAGTGGTATTTCAAACAAAAAGCTTTCCTCTACCAAGGAAAAATTAAATTATGATCAATGTATTGAAAAATTATGCCTCAAATTTCAAACTTCTATCAAATCAATTAAAATTAAAAGTCAGATTCTAAAGGATTAAGTCTTCATCACTGAGAAAAGCCAAGTGTATTTAGTAATTAATTTACTCTCCAAGATTTGGGGAAAGAAAACCTTTGTAACCCTTTCCTTTGAAAACTGATATTCCATTAATATAGTAATCAAAACAGTTGGCATGCTAGAACTCTTTTTTACTGTGCAAAAGTAGCAGCAGCATTAACAATAAAGGATCTGGTAAATGAAATTCCTGCCTTATATATGCTACTCACCTGTGGTATAAGTCTATCCAAGTGATCAGCTCGATTTCCATGAGAAGGGTGTGTAGATAACCATTCTGGCAATTTGGGATGACCATGAAGGCTTTCTGCAAATTCCATTTGCTGCCAAAACACTGAACTGGCTCTTACATCCACACAAGCCTGAAATCAACATTAATAAAAGCACAAAGTGAGCTTAGTTACAAAAACATGCTTAAAAATTTATCTTAGGGGGCTGGGAAGGTGGCTTAGTGGTAGAGAACTTGCCTTGCATGCATGAGGCCCTGGGTCCAATTCCTCAGCACCACATACACAAAAAGAAAAAAGCCGGAAGTGGCGCTGTGGCTCAAGTGGTAGAGCGCTAGCCTTGAGCTGAAGAGCTGAGGGACAGAGCCCAGGCCCAGAGTTCAGGCCCCACGACCGGACCCAAAAAAAAGGAAAAAAAATTTATCCTAGCCAAACAGGCATGGTGGCACATACCTATAATCTTGAGAGGATGAGACAGGAGGATTGTGAATTCTAAGACAGGCAGAGCTACATAGCAAGACCCTGTAAAAAGAAAAAGGAAGAGCCAAGTGGAGGTGGCTCATACCTAAAATCTTAGCTACTTAGGAGGCTAAGTGCTGAGGATACTGGTTTGAGGCCAGTCAGAGCAGGGAAGTCTATGAGACTCTTATCTTTAATTAAGACTCCTATCTGAAAAAAGAATTTAAAAAAGAGCCAGAAATAAAACTGTGGCTCAAGTGGTATAGTGCTAGCCTTCAGCATAAAAGCTCAGGGACAGTACAAAGATCCTGTCCAAGTCCCAGAACAAATACAAAAAGAAAAGAAAAGAAAAGAAAAAAAAGAAAGTAAGGAAGAAAAAGAGAGGGGAAAAAGAGGAAGTGGGAGGGAAAGAGGGAAGGAAAAGGAAAAAAGGGAAGAAAGGAGGGGGGAGGAGCAACGGAAAAAGAGAATGGAAAGGGGAAGGAAGGAAGGAAGGAAGGAAGGAAGGAAGGGAGGGAGGGAGGGAGGGAGAGAGGAAAGGAGGGAGGGAGGGAGGAAGGAAAAAGAAGAGGAAAAACATATGCAGGAGGTACATCGGTCATCAATCAAATCTGATTTAAGGAGGAGCACACCATGACATAATAATCAACTCACAAAAGAAAGAAAGAATTTCAATAGCAGCAAGAGATAAGAGACACATCATATTGAAAAAAAATGAGTCTCAATACAACTGCAGATAGATTTCAATACAACTTCAGGTAGATGTCTCAACAGAAACTCTCTCCAGGAGACAGTGAAATGGCTATATATTTAAAGTGATAAAGGGAAAATCCTGCTAATCAATAATAAATTTATTCAGCAATGATGTCTTTCAGAATAAAAATGTTCTAAGACAAGCAAAAACAAAAGGAGTTCATTATCACTAGACTTTTCTTATAGGAATTTTTTAAGGGAGCTCTTTAAACTGAAATGAAAAGCTGCTAATCAATAAGATGAAATATACAAAAGACAAACCAGTGATATATGTTAAACTAAAACATACTTAGAATATTGTAGAATTTTAATGATGGTGTATAACCATATTAAAAAGGTTGAAAGACACAACTATTCATAAGAATTATAGCTAAAATGAATTGCAATAGGATTCCTTCTGAAATGAAAAAATTAACCAAGCACTTCAAATGGAAGGAGGGGTAAAAATGTACAGTCCTTGAATGTAATAAAAATTAAATTATTATCAGCTTGAAATTCATTGTTAAAAAATAAGCCTCATGTCAACTATGAAGCAAAAATCTCTAGTACGAGCATAAAACAAAAACAGGATGGCAAGCATACCGCTACAGAAAACCATCAATGCACAAAGAATATAGTAAGAGTGGAAGAAAGAAATTAAGTATCCACAAAACAACTAGCAAAGTAGACTAAGTCCTTACCTATCAATAATGCCTTATATGTAAATGGATTTAAATGTTTAAGAAAAAAAAGGACAGCATGGGGGTGGGGGGATATGGGAAGGAATGGGAAGGGAAAACAAAGGAGGAGGCAACAATGCTTGATAAGAAATGTATTCATTACGTTGCTCATCTAATTGCAACCCCAATATACGGTATTTTCACAATTAAAAAAAAAGTGTGGGGAAAAAGACAGCACTGGGTGGATTATCTAAAAATAAAAATAAAAACAAGACCCAGCATGAACATTTAGACATACTATTGCAGTATCAAAAATGAAACATGATCCAACCAGTCTTCATGTAGAGTCTAAGAATTTGACCTGACTTTTAAGGACACATACAGATAGAAAGTGAAGAGTTAGGAAAAAGATATTCAGCAAAATCAGAAACCAAAAGAGAGCAAGGAAGCTATACTTTCATCAGGCAAAATATATTTCAAGTTGAAAAGTATAAAAAGGGACAAAGAAAGGATACAGTTTTAAAGAGATCAACTCATCAAGAGGATATAATAATTGTAAATGTGTTTGCATCCAACATCAGAGCCCCTAAATACATAAAGGAAACATTAAAGGACCTAAAGGGAGTGATAATGGAATACAGCGATAGAAGGACACTTCAATACCTCACACTTTCAAAATGACCAGATCATCCAGACAGAAGATGAATAAGAAAACACTAAGCTTGAACAACACATAGACCAAATGGAGTTAATACGCATCCACAGCAATAAAGTACACATCCTTCTCAGGACATACAATGCATTCGCCAGGCCAGATCAAATGTTAGAACACAAAACAAATCTCAGTAACTGTAAGGACACTAAAATTATATCAAGCATTTTTTCTAACCAGATCAATGTAAGTCTGAATCAGTAATAGAAAAGTCTCCCATTAAGGGGATAAATTCTACCAGAGTTTTAAGGGACTAAAGCCAATCTTTTGCAAACATTTCTATAGATATATGTGTGTGTATGTATGTATATATATATATGTGTGTGTGTGTGTGTATTTATAGATGTGTGTATATATGTATATATGTACATATATATACACACATATATATCAAAGAGAAGGGAATATATCCAAATACCTTTCATAAGGCCAACGTAATTCTGATAGCAAAAACAGATGTTGTTAAAAGAAACTTAAGCCAGACATCAGCAACACATGCCTGTAATCCTAGCTACTCAAAAGACTGAAAAGTGAAGCTGAGATCTAAGGAGGCTGAGATCTTAGGATCAGAGTGCAAAGCTAGCCTGGGCAGGAAAGTATGTGGGACTCTTATCTACAATTAACTACTAAAAAGCTGGAAGTGGAGCTACAGCTTAAGTGATAAGAGTGCTAGCCTTGGGTTAAAAAAAAAACCCTCAGGGACAGCACCAAGGCCCTGAGTTCATGCTCCGTGACCAGCGCAAAAAAAGAAAAAATATATATGGGGTATGATTCCAGTGGTAGAGTACCCTAATTTCAAGCTCCAGTACCACTAGAAACAAGCAAACAAATAAAAAGAAACACAGAAAGAAATTGGAAACGTTATACTGTAGTTTATTTAATGCTAAAGTGATTTACCAAAGCTCTCTACATCCTCTGATTGTCAGCATGTCAGCTTAAAAATCAATACAATAAATTATGTCTTAAATAATTTTCATGTACATTTCTTAGGTAAAGCTTTGTCACAAGAAAATACTAAGAGGGCTGGGAAGGTAGCTCAGTGGTAGAGCGCTTGCCTTGAATGCCTGAGGCCCTGGGTTCGATTCCTCAGCACCACATAAGAAAAAAGAAAAAAGCTGGAAGTGGCACTGTGGCTCAAGTGGTAGAGCTCCAGCCTTGAGCTGAAGAGCTGAGGGACAGCGCCCAGGCCCAGAGTTCAGGCCCCATGACCGGACCCCAAAAAAAAAGAAAAAAGAAAATACTAAGACATAAAATTATATCAATTAGTAAATAAAGACTCATTTATGTGGATCATAAAATAAAGTTCTAAGTAAGACTTAAGATATAACTTGTTAAACAAGATGATTAAACAAGGTGATTCCCTCATTTGCTGTTTTTCCTTCTTAAGTGACTAGCCAAGAACCTCAGTCAGACTCAAATAAAACACAGGGCAGTTCGCTGTCATGAGAGCAAAGAATACTTTCTGGGAAAACGAGACTGGAAGATCTTGCTACTAACTAGGTATGTTATTAGGTGAACAAATACACTTCTGTGGACTCTGGATTCTTACCAGGAAAAGGAGAAATCAGCTCCCAGTTTCCTTCCTGCTCCAAAAGCCTGTGATTCCATAATCTACTATTTTACATAAAGCTTAGAATTTGGGGGAGTTTTTTCCCCTTATTTCTTATTTCTGTGGTGAAACTAGATTCTGTTTGTTACTCAATTTGCTCACTAGATGGTGCTACTGGCATAGTTATATCAGGTTATTTGAAGAAACCAGCAGTGCGTGTTTCCCAGAAGGAGCATTGTAACTTCTGGCATCTGGACAATTCCTCCCTGTGAGGGCATTCCAAGACACCTTAGAGTATTTTTCAAACCTAGTTCCCACCCATTAAACAAAGTAATCTGTCCATAATCACTGTCACAATCAAAAATAATCATATATACTGTTCTCCTAAGAGACTGCCCAAGTTTAGAATCACTAAAAGAAAATTAGCTTTCCTTTTCACATATAAATAATGAAGTCTCAAAAATGAATGGTTTACTTGGTTGTAAAATTAATTTTAAAAGGGCATTTCTGAAATGACTATATAGTATCCAAGTTTCCTTACAGTGACAAATAAACATGCACCGCTACCAAAATAATGCATAGAATTTTTTTTGGTCAGGTGATAACCAGGCACCATAGTCCAACTAGTAATTATTAACTCATATTAATAATTCTCATGATTTTCATAATTAATGGATCATGAAAATGAGAAGCTTAAAGACTGGTTAAAAATATCATCATGTAAAATATACTCATTAACAGAAGAGCAGCAGAAGAAAGAAACTTCAGGAGGGTGAACAAGCTCTGCTGGGTAACTTTGTTTTAGGGAATTTTCTAACATTTGTTTGGCCCTGGGCCTTGAAACCTCATAAATCCAGGGAACAGCACAGGACAGACAGGCATAGCTCTCAGGAACTGTTCCCACTGACCAAGTTCATATGACTGATATAAAATCAGAATTCCAGCTTATTAATTTACAGAGATAACTACAAAGTGCACAGCACATTCTTTCTCTTTTAGGAAC